GATCTTTCTGCCTTGGCCTCCCGAAGTGGAAACATCTGGTCTTTTGTTTTCATTCCTTGTTACTGTCCTTTGATATTGACCCAAGGATCAATTGTGATAGCCCATGCCCATCCCTCGTCTGTCTCTGAAGGACAGGTCCCGTAACCTTGAACTCCTCTGGCTCTCAAAAGGGAGCTGGGAGTTGCTGCTTGAATGCCCTCCTCCCCAGCTCCAGGGGCTTTGAGAGTGGGCTTCGGAGGGCAGGGCATCTGGGGACCCTCAGGTGTCTTCCTCTCACCCTGGGCAGGTGGAGGAGCGGCGGGAGCGCTACATGGACTCCTATGACATCGTGCTGGAGAAGGACGAGACGCTGGATGTGGTCAACGGGCTGCTACAGCACGTCCTGCACCAGGGGGACCAGTTGGAAATGCAAGGCCCCTGAGGGCGCAGCCTCCAGCCAGGCCTGCGGGCCATGGTGAGGAGGGGGCACCTCCCTGGAGTCTGCTCGCCTGTGAACACAGAGCAGAGGCCAGGGTGGCCAGCAGCAGCCAGGTCCTTCTATGCCCTTCCGTCCTCCTTTCCCTGAGCGCGTTCATCACCAGAGGCTTGAGGGGCCCCATCTCGTGGCAGGGCACAAGCACTGTTCCTGGTGAACCTGGGACCATAGCATGCCAGTGCTCTAGGGATCGTCTAGTCCAGGGATTTTTTTTTTTTTTTTTTCAAAATTTTTAAATGTGGGAAATTGTTCTTCAAACAAATGTAATGTGTAAAACAGATCAAAATTTTAAAAATGAAACACCAGCTGTTTTGATTTAGAAGATGTGGGTGGGGGTAGAACCTGGACCTCTTTGCCCTGGGGGCACATATCATGTGATACTTCTGGGGCTCCACGGAACACAGTTTGAGAACCGCCACAAATCAGCCTGGGAGTCCGTCTGAGTGCAACCTGATTATATCGGTGTGGTTCAGGGTGGCGCTGAAAGGGTATGTTCTAGCCTACAGTGGTTTGTCTTTATTCTGCTTCAGCCATCAAACTTGAAATTCTGTTGGGATTCATGGGGTTGAGGAAACCCTGAGCGCCCCCTCTTCAGGGCTCCCCTGGGGGACGCATGTGGGTGTGGATTTCCCCTCGAGCCCTAGGTTCTCCTTTCCCCACCTCTTACAGATCATGGACACTAAAGTGGATGACCTGAAAAGGGGAATTTAGAGCAGGGCCCTGAGGGAGGCTGGGCCGTGGTGAAACACGAGTGATGTGTGCACTGTGGCCTTGCATTATTGGGCCGACTTCACAGTCTCTTTCCCTTCTTCCCTCCCTGTTGACTTGGATGGTCAAGAACTAGCTGATTCTCTCTAGGGCACTTTTCGAAGAAAAAATATAGAAGAGCCAGTTAGGCGGGGCATGGTGACTCACTCCTGTAATCCCAGCCTTTGGGAGGCCAAGGCGGGTGGATCATGAAATCAGAAGTTCGAGACCAGCCTGGCCAACATAGTGAAACCCCATCTCTACTAAATCAGCCGGGCGTGGTGGCAGGCCCCTATAATCCCAGCCACTCTGGAGGCTGAGGCAAGAGAATCACCTGAGCCCAGGAGGCAGAGGTTGCAGTGAGCCGAGATCGCGCCATTGCACTCTAGCTTGGGCAACAGAGCGAGTCCATCACTGTCCCGATAAAAAAAAAAAAAAAAAAGGAAAAAGAAAAAGGCCAGGCACAGTGGCTCATAACTAATTGGGAGGTTGAGGCGGGCAGATCATGAGGTCAGTTTGAGACAAACCTGGCCAACATGTGAAACCCTGTCTCTATTAAAAAAAAAAAAAAAAAAGGAGCCAGTTCAGCATTTTCTTAACTTTAGAGGAAATCACTGGCACCCCTTCCTGCAGAGTTTGGCTAGCTGTTGGAATGTTCTGTCATTCTGCAGATTTGTAGTGGAAAGTAGTGGAGATGTTACTGAAGTCCCATTGTGTGCCAGGTGCTACTCTGGGCACTTGGGTGCCTGCCAGTTGACCCTCACAATGACCCTGCCAGATCGCTAAGGCAGGATGAATAACTTGCCCAAACTCCGTAGCTAGGAGCTAGACCCAGTATTCAAATGTTTCTGACCAAAGTCCATGCCATTTGCTGCATTTCCCTGCTTCAGGCCTGTTCCATTAGGTTTTGGGAGGGGGGAGTGGTTACCATCTGAGGCTGGGTCAGTAACCACTTTCAGCCTTCAATCAAGGAGCTTTCTTGGCTGGCACAGTGGCTCATGCTGTAATCCCAGCACTTTGGGAAGCTGAGGTGGGCACATCAGTTGAGGTCAGGAATTTGAGACCAGCCTGGCCAGCATGGTGAGACTGCACCTGCCTATAGTCCCAGCTACTGGAGTAGCTGGGGCAGGAGAATCACTTGAACCCAGGAGGCAGAGATTGCAGTGAGCTAAGACAGCACCATTGTGCTCCAGCCTGGGCGACAGATCGAGACCCTGTCTCAAAAAAAACAAACCAAAAAAACAGACTTCAATCAAGGAGCTTTTTGGATGCTTTGGTGCCATAGAATGTCAGTCACTGGCCATGGGGAGCAGTTAGGTCTCTTAGGGGACTCTGGGCAAGAAGTGCTGATGGAGGCAGTTTGCTGTGAGTCCAGTCCCGTCATTTTCTTTCCCAAGTCCCCACCCATCCTCAGAAGGCCCGGGTCATCCCACGCAAGCAAGAGCAGATGGCCTGGCTGGTGGCTGAAGTCTTCCTACAAGACACTGTGGAGATCTGAACTCAGTTACCTTTCCCCTAGCAAGAAGGATGGGCAGGTGGTAACAGGTGGCAGCCAGGAGCAGGAAGAGATGGGAAAATAGTATTGGAAATGATTGACGGAAAAGGATAATCTGACCTGTGTGCTTTAATTTAATCCTTGAGCTTTGTCGGTTGAGTTTGAGGTCAGGGACCTTGTTTTTCCCATTCGATGGGGACAATTAGGGGATAAGGATCATCACTCCACACCCTGCTGCAGGCCTCTGTCCTCTACACATTCACCCCCTCCACAGACCACGGCTCCCTTCCCACAGCAAAGCCCCCAGGTTAGGCCCAGGGCAGGCAGGAAACCTCCAGAGGGGGAGCCCCTGATCTGGGGACACGCTGTCTAGAGCTAATGAGGCCATGGAAACAGCCTGGTTTATCTTCCCAAATGTAGGGAACCCCCCCAACCCCCACTTCCTCCCCTAGCCCCTCAAGCTGTTCCAAAAGACAATGAAGGCCATTGGTTTAATCTTTTATGTGGAACAAAGGAAAAAGGGACTGACACCTGTTTAGCCTTTTGAGTGTGCAGAGCTCTGCCCACCTCCCTCCCACCCCTCAGCCCCAAATCCAAGATTTCGTAGCCCTCACCCCCACCCAAGCAGGTTCCCTCACACACACCCTTTGTTTTCTTCCTCTTCCACGGTTCCTTAGGGAAAGGTGCCTTCTTTAGGGATGAAGAGCTACCTACAGCCCAGTCCTAGCCTCCAGCACCCCAAAATCAGCTCAGCCTCCACTGGAGGCGAGGGGGAAGAGCAAAGCGCATGGGGGAGGTAGGGCTGCCCTCCAGGAGCTGTCCCCTTCCCCAGGAGCCAGTCAGAGCTGGGGAGGAAGGCAGAGGCGTCCTGGGGAGCTGTCACAGAGAGGAATGGGGTCAGGGAGTGGGGGTGACAAGTACAAATAAAGAGAAAGTTTGGGGAGACAGATGACAAGCCCAGCTGTGCTAGTGACGTGGAGGGGAGGTGTGGTGAGAGACCAGCCATGGCCCTGTCCAACCCCAGGCTCCACCAGCCTCAAACTGGCTTTGCAAATCCAAACATTTTAAGGAAGGGGTTTGGGGTTGGAAGAGAAATGGCATAGAGGTCTGTGCTGTGGATTTTCTTCTAGGGTGGTGGGAACCCCAGAGATGTCTCCTCTGCCATCGTTTTAGATGGCTCCCAGACCTCATCCCAGCAGAGGGAGGGTGACTGTCAGCAGGTCAGTCCCAGCGCCATGCCCCCCTCGCAGTGGGCCTCTGTGTCTCAGGCCTGGCCAGGCTCCCTGCCCCTCAGAGCTCCTCGTGGACCCGCTCCTGGTCCTCATCTGACTTTAGCTTCAGCTCCTCGACTGTGATCTTGCCGTCCTGGTTGCGGTCCTGGTTCTGGAACATGTCCCCTATGGTTTTCTCAGGGTCCTGCCCAGGCATGAGGCGTCCTTTGCCCTCACTCACTTGAGCCTTGATGAAGGTGGAGAACTGGGGGGAGGGGAGAGCCAGGGAAGTGGGGAGTGAGCATCATGGCCTTGGGAGGGGCCCTGGGTGGAGGCCAGTGAGTGCTTTCTTTTTCTATCTTCCCAGGCTCCCCCACATGCCGCAACTCAGGAAGGACTGGGAAGGGCACTGGTGCTGGAGTCCTGGTGAGGGTGGGGGTGGAGGCATGGCATGGGGGATAGTCCGTGACTGGGCTCGGGTAGGGAACAGTCTGCATGCGTTCCCAGGAGAAGGCGGGGATGAGGGGCCTGAGGCGTGGGGCTCAGCACAGGCAGGAGCACAAGGGCAGGTGGACAGGCCAGATGAGGAATGCCTTCTTCCTAGATGCTTCCTGGGTCGGAGGGGGTTCGTGAGCATGGTTATTAGGACTGAACCTTCACCCACCTCCTCCGGAGGGACCTCTCCATCCTTGTTGAGGTCCATGTCTTCAAACAGGTTAGCAGGAGGGTCATCGTGCCACACAAACAGGTAGCCTGTGGGCAGCCCATCCTCCCGGGACACCAGCTCCACCTCAAACCGCAGCACAGCACTGCCAGGGACGCCCCGGGCTGGATGGAGGGCAGGAGAGGAGGGAGGGGTCCCAGTCAGGCCAGAGTCTGGGCCTTGCTTCGATGCTTCCCAGCCCACAGGCCTCAGTTTCCCTTCTTGGAGCTGGGCTGGAGAATGGCGCACAGGATATTTAAGGAGCCATCCCGCAGGCATTCCTGACTCCTCCCACCAGCCATCAGGCCCACAATGAGCAGGAGCAATAGGGACGGATGCCAGTCTCACAGTTTCGGACTGAGCACGGTGGCTCATGCCTGTAATCCCAGCACTTTGGGAGGCCAAGGTGGGTGGATCACCTGAGGTCAGGAGTTCAAGACCAGCCTGGCCAATATGGCAAAACCACATCCCTACTAGAAATACAAAAATTAGCTGGACATGGTGGCAGGTGCCTATAATCCCAGCTACTTGGGAGACTGAGGCAGGAGAATCGCTTGAACCCAGGAGGTGGAGGTTGTAGTGAGCTGAGATCATGCTACTGCACTCCAGCCTGGGGTGACACAGTGAGCCTCCATCTCAAAAAAAAAAAAATTACTTTTTTTCTCACTCCCTCACCTCCATTCTCCCCGTGGGCCAGGTGCGGGGGCACGATGAGCTGCCGCCTCTCTCCCACACACATGCCCTGCAGGCCCATGTCCAGGCCTTCGATCACCTTGTTGGCCCCCAGAGTCGCCTCCTGGGGGGCCCCGTAGTCATGCCTGGGGGAGAGCAGATGCCCAGGTCAGCAGCCACCCTGTCCCCTGTCAGCGTACACCCCACTCTCTCTGAGGTGGGCCCAGAACAAGCGCTCAGTTCCGGAGTCACTCCCACTGGTGACTTGGGCCACGCAGGAGAGTGCAGGGGCCCAGCAGTGCAGACGTGGGGTTCCCTTCTCATCTCGCCTCTGCCCCTAAAATGTAGCCTCCAGGGCTCATGGCTCCTGCATCAGTTTCCCCTCTGTGAAAAGGAAAGAGCAGTTCTCCCACAGCTGCTGGCTTCACCTTCCCTCCCACTGTAAAGCAGAGAATCTCATCT